TACAGTATTGGTGAGAATGTAAAACGGTACAACCACTTTGGAAATTGATTTGGCGCTTCCTTAAAAAGATAGAAATAGAAGTACCATAGGATCCAGTAATCCTGCTCTTTGGAATATATCCTAGAGAAATAAGAGCTGTCACACGAATAGATATATGCACACCCATGTTCATTGCAGCACTGTTCATGATAGCAAAAAGATGCAAACAAGCTAGGTGCCCATCAACAGAAGAATGGATAAACAATTATGGTATAGCCACATAATGGAATATTACGCAACGATAAAGAACAGCAAAGAACCCATGAAACATCTCATAACGTCGAGGAATCTGGAAGGTATTATGCTGAGTAAATTTAGTCAGTCACAAAAGGACAAATATCGCATAAGACCACTACTATAGGAATTCAAGAAAGGGTTTAAACACAGAAGAAAACATTCTTTGATAGTTACAAGGGTGGGGAGGGAAGGAGAAGTTATTCACTAATGAGAAAGTAGACAAGAATTATCTTAGGTGAAGGGAAGGACAGCACACACTACAGGGGAAGTCAGTGACAACTGAACTAAACCAAAGCTAAGAAGTTTCCTGAGAACAACCAAACACTTGGAGGGACAGAGTAGCAGGGACAGGGGTCTGGGGACCACGGTTTCAGGGGACATCTAGGTCAATTGGCATAACAAAGTTTTTTAAGAAAACGTTCTGCATCCTATTTTAGTGAGTGGCGTCTGGGGTCTTAAAAGCTAGTGACTGGCCATCTAAGATGCATGGAGTAAAGGAGAATGAAGAACAACAAAGACACAAGGAAAGTATTAGCCCAAGAGACAGAAAGGGCCACATAAACCAGTGACTTCAACAGCCTGAGACCAGAAGAACTAGATGGTGCCCGGCTACCACAATGACTGCCCTGACAGGGAACACAACAGAGTCCTTGACAGAGCAGGAGAAAAGTGGGGTACGGAACTCAAATTCTAGTAAAAAGTCCAGACTTAATGGTTTGATAGAGACTAGAGGGACCCTGGAAGACATGGCCCCCAGGCTCTCTGTTAGACATGGCCACTGGACTCTCTGTTAGCCCAAAACTAAAACTATTCCCAACGCCAACTATTCAGACAAAGATTAGACTTGACTATGGGACATAAAATGATACTCGTGAAGATTGTGATTCTTAGCTCAAGCAGATATATGAGACTAAATGGACAGCTCCTGTCCAGAGGTGAGATGAGAATGCAGAGAGGGTCAGGCTGGTTGAATGGACACGGGAAATCCAAGGTGGAAAGGAAGAGTGTGCTGTCACAGTGAAGGGAGAGCAACTAGGGTCACATAACAATGTACGTATAAATTTTTATATGAGAGACCAACTTGAATTAAACTTTCACTTAAAGCACAGCAATAAAAAAAAAAATAATTATGATCGAGGAAGAAGAGTGAATAAAGGCATATGGTTTATTAACTCTGAATTCCGAAGTGCTATGGTATGGCACTGTAGCAATAGTAATGGAGGTAACTTCTCAACCTGTTACTAAAAAACACAGTGAGAGAGCTGGTTTTTGAGAGAAGGACATTAATCTAGAAGCATTTTTGCAATATCATAGAGAAGGAACATAATGAACATGTCACTTAATACAAGCAAAGAACTTACTACAATGCCTAGCATGTGATAAGCATTCAATTTACATCAGCTAATAAAAAACTATCTTTATATTTCAACTCCACCATTACATTTATTAAAAATTAAAAGTTGTATAAACACATCTCTACTAGAGAGATATACTTTTATATGAACTCATCAAATGAAAGGTATATTTCTTTTAAAGTTATAACAAATAAAATATGCTTTACATGGTAATCATTTAGAATGATATATTCTCAAATAAAATGTTTTATTTCCTCTTAAATTCATTATGAACCAAAAGGACAAATATATATGTAATAATTATGATAATAATAGTAGTACTTATATAATTTTAATTAATATATGCTTTCAGATATTTTGGATATCAAATATTTCTGGTTTCAGAAATTTTGACTTTTGAACAGGAACATTCCAACATTCCAACTGATGAAGATCAATGACTATAGCCTTCAGTATAGATTACACCTCAATATAAAACAAAAATCCTCACAACTGGACCAATAAGCAACATCATGATAAATGGAGAAATGATTGAAGTTGTCAAGGATTTCATTTTATTTGGATACACAATCAACACTCATGGAAGCAACAGTCAAGAAATCAAATGACGTATTGCATTGGGCAAACCTGCTGCAAAAGACATCTTTATAGTGTTGAAAAGCAAAGATGTCACTTTGAGGACTAAGGTGTCCCTCACACAAGCCTTGTTATTTTCAATCTTCTCATATATATGCATTCAAAAGTGGACTATCGATAAGGAAGACTGAAGAAGAATTGATGCATTTGAATTATGGTATTGGTGAAGAATATTGAATATACCATGGACTTCTGGAAGAACAAACAAATATGTCTTGGAAGAAGTATAGCCAGAATGCTTCTTAGAAGTGAGTATGGTGAGACTTCGTCTCACACGCTTTCGATAGGTTATCAGGAGGAACCAGTCCCTGGAGAAGAACATCATGCCTGGTAAAGTAGAGGGTCAGCGAAAAATAGGAAGACGCTCAACGAGATGGATTGACACAGATGCTGCAACACTGGGCTCAAACATAGCAATGTTTATGAGGTTTGCGCAAGACCAGGCAGTGTTTTGTTCTCTTGTACATTGGATCTCTATGAGTCGGAACTAACTTGATGGAACCTAACAACAACATTCCAACGTGTATCTTTCAGGTCAATCACTTTTTAATTTGACAAGTCTTCCCAATAATACAAAAACAATCACTACCAAAAGAACTAAGACTTTGAATACACTTATGATGGCAATCAGTTTGGTTTGATATCCTCATTTTTCATGGTTTTAATTATGTAAAATTTCAGCCCTAGTTGTTTACCATTTCCATTGATAGGATCAAATTATTAGGATGGAAATTTTGGTAATTATTAAATGTAATGGAAATTTGAGGTTGGTTATGTCATGCTGATTTACTAAAAATAAACCATTTTAGAATAGTTAAAAACATTTAACGAGTCTCATGCTAAGAGAAAGTCACACACTGTGCAGAGTAGTATTGTTATAACATTTGTGGTCCCTATTTCAACTTTGTTCTCATCTCATAATTCTTCCATTTCCAAATTCGGTGGTTCTGCTCATTCTCCTTATTGGCTATTTCAAAATTTCCTTATTCTCCTAAACCTCTGACTAAGCATTTCCCCAACATCACCAAAAAACAAACGAAAAAACTTATTATAACCACTCACAATGGGTCATTGATGACAGTCTTCAAAGCATTGAGCAAATCTGTACTTGTCATTGTTTTCATGTCCAGACTCACTGCTGCACCGTTGGCCTTCCTGTGAGCAATGTTATCAGGTTGATCCACAAACAAGGGAATGCCTACCAGAGGGATCCCATGGTAGATAGCCTCAGATGCCATTGGTTCCACCATGAGTTATAAAAGCTTTGGTCTTTGGATGACCTAGGAATGAGTGAAATTTAGCAAAATTATCCATTATAATTCTTGAAAATAAAATGAGAAATGGGAAATATAAGGAACTCAATGAGGTGGTGTTTTCTAGAAAACAGATTATCGTGCCCATGAAACTGTATTCAAATTGCTTATACATCACTGAGCAGGAAGCAGCTAGGTCTACCGGGGTAGTAAGTGAAGGCTTCCTGGGAGAATTGGTGTGTGCCTGGAGACCTGAAAGGTAAATAGAAGATTGCTGCGTGGACAAGTTGAAGCAGAGTGTTCTGGATAAAAGTAACAATATGAGGGGGAGAAAAAGGGGGACACAATAGAGCATATTCTTTTAAAGAAATAGTGAGATAAGTGACTGAGTCTGGTATGTAGGGTGTCCAAGGCAGCAGGAAGTGTGATGGTGGTGGTGCTGGACTCAGAAGAAGGGAAGGCGATACTACATCATGAAATGTTCCATCACTTCATGATAAAGATTTTGAATATTTTTCATAGAAAACGGAGAGTCACTGGTTCTAAAGAAGGGGCTGTTATTGTTCAGTTGCATTTGAAATACCTCTGCAGCCGTGGAAAGGATAGGTTTGAGGTGGGACTATTAGGAGACAGAGACATAAACCACAAGGCTATTAAAAAATTCCATACAAGAGGTGATTACACCTGAAATACAGATAACCTTGTTTCTGGGTATAAGGATTATGACTGTATATAATGAAATGCCAATTCTTATATTTCATCTTTTTTCCCTTCAGAACTAGAATATAAATATAAAGAACTTATGCTTTATTTTTGTGTTTTAAATAATAAATACTCAACAATTGGTTTTCTGTTGAACTATTATCCCTCTGATTGGCTATTACTCATATTTTCAGTATTTGTTCTCTAATCTTACCAAGAAGGTCATTCTGGGGGATCCACTTATAGAGTCGAATATTGGGTCCTAAGATATCTGGTTTCTTGCCATCAAATCACCACACCACCTATTAAGGTGAAGAAAATACTTTATTCCATGAATAGAATTGCAAAGTTATAGCGAGTTAGAATTCTAAAGAGATTAAAAGATCATCTAGTCAAACTTTTTCCATATGACAGAGGAAATGAGGACAAGAGATGTTAGGAAATTGGAACTGCTATAACACTGAAGTAAATAGGAATACCCATATTAAATGAACTTATTTTTATATATCATCAGGTATGGAATGTAACTATTTCACCCATGGTAGAAGAAATGAGATTAGCAACGACAAATTCAAAGAGTTGGGGAATCGTTACCAAAAAAACCCAAAAAACAAAACAAACCCGTTGCCCACGAGTCGATTCCGACTCAGCGACCCTATAGGACACAGTAGAACTGCCTGGTAGAGTTTCCAAGGAGTGCTTGGTGGATTCAAACTGCCGATCTTTTGATTAGCAGAGGTAGCTCTTAACCACTACGCCACCAGGGTTTCCAGGGAATTGTTTGTTAGGCAGTCATAACTCTAGTTTAAAAAACAGTAGTGGATACCTAATTATCTGCATATTTATTTACTTTTTATCTATTTATCATCTGCCTCTCATCTCCTAAATTTTGTTTTAACCTGTTTTTCTCTTTTTATTATTATTTTTTTTTGAACGACCTGGGAGTGTACTTACGTTCATCTTTTTCCGGAATTTGTGGTTTTGTGAAGTATTTTTTAATTTCCTATCTGATCTAGCCTTCTCCTAATAGTCTAATTAAAATTCACTCCTTTCTGCAGTGAGTATAGTGCCCTCAGGAATCCTGCAAGAAAGTGGAGCAAATGACAGGAGAGAATTCAGTGATTGCTGTATATCTGGCAACAGCATCATTATAATGACAAAACTTCACACTGTACCTGTTAAATATATGTATTTCTTGTCACAGTACTAATGTTAAAGTAATTATCAATTAAAAACAACCTGTATTATTTTAACAGCTAACACCTTTTTTTTTTTTTTTAAACTGAAATTTGAGATAAATTGGAGCTATTAATAGTTTACCTTCCTGCAGAAAATTTCCATAATCAAACACTTTACAGAGTTGAACAGACTAGTGAAGTACTTGCTCACCATAAAGACACTTTATCTACCTTTTGTGGAATCTGGGCAAGGGCTGATGCAATCGTATTGGCCCTTTCTTCTGTGATGTTACTGAGCATTGACCCAAGAGTAAACACCACAACACCATGTGTTCCAGAGCTCTGGACAAACTCTTCTATTTCCTGTGAAGAAAGAATTTGCTTCATCATGAAACAGCAACGAAATATTGAACAATATTTAGGCAGCGGCGGGAGAGCTAGCGAGCTCTGGGGGGCAAAGGGAGGGGAGTGTGGGCGTGTGCGGAGGTGAAGTGAGAGGTAGCGGGGACTCCCGGCGAAGAGGTCTTGGTGGCTCCTTCCCACGGCTGCACCCTTGGAGCCATAGTGAACTCGGGCCTCTCTGGAGCCGCCGCCGCTGCCGCCATCTCCGCTACTGTCTCTTAAGAGCGAGGGACGCGGTCGAGGCGAGCGAGGAAGCGGCGGCTGGAGCTGTTGGGACAACAGCCACGTCGAATACGCGATGGCGAGCGAAGGTGTACACTCTAAACGATAACCGGCAGTGGGACGATCGAGGCACCGGGCACGTCTCCTCCACTTATGTGGGGGAGCTCAGTGGGATGCCGCGAGTCCGACGGATCACTACTCTTGGAATCAAAGATAAATCCAAACACAGCATATCAGAAACAACAGGATACATTAATTGTTTGGTCAGAAGCTGAGGCTTACGATCTGCCTCTAAGTTTTCAGGAAAAAGCTGGTTGTGATGAGATTTGGGAAAAAATCTGTCAGGTTCAAGGTAACGATCCATCAGTGAAAGTCACACAGAACCTGACTAATGAATCAGAAGAACGCTTTGAAGAAATGCCTGAAATCAGTCATCTGATTGACCTGCCCATGTGAACTCGATAAACTGGAAGAGATAGCTGACTTAGTTACCTCAGTTCTCTCCTCACCTATCCATAGAGAAGAGCTGGCTGTGGCCTTGGAAAATGAAGGCTATATTAAACAACTACTGCAGCTGTTCCAAGCTTGTGAGAACCTAGAAAATACTGAAGGCTAACACCATTTGTATGAAATTATTAGAGAGATTTTATACCTAATTAAGGCAACTTTGTTTGAGGTATATTTTCTGGTTGTCAAGCGATGCCTTGAATGTAACCCTGATTTGGCTCAGCCAAAAGGGCATAGAGAATTCTTGACCAAAACTGCAAAGTTTAAGGAAGTTATGCCTATAATAGACTGAACTAAGGTAAAAAATACATCAGACTTACAAGGTACAGTACATTCAGGACATCATTTGCCTACCCCATCCGTTTTTGAAGAGAATTTTCTTTCTACTCGTACGTCTTTTATTTTCTTCAACAAAGTTGAGATAATCAGCATGTTGCAGGAAGATGAGAAGTTTTTGTCTGAAGTTTTGGACAATTAACAGACGAGGCTACAGATAATGATAAACAGCGTGAACTGATTAATTTTTTCAAGGAATTCTGTGCTTTTTCTCAGACATTACAACCTCAAAACAGGGATGCGTTTTTCAAAACTTTGGCAAAATCGAGAATTCTTCCTGCTCTTGAAATTATATTGGGAATGGATGATTTCCAAGTCAGATCAGCTGCTACAGGTATATTTTCTTATCTAGTAGAGTTTAGTCCATCCATGGTCTGAGAATTTGTAGTGCAAGAAGCCTAGGTGAGTGATTTCGATATCCTTCTCATTAACGTAATAATTGAACAAATGATCTGTGATACTGATCCTGAGCTAGGAGGTGCTGTTCAATTAATGGGACGTCTACAAACTCTAATTGATCCAGAGAACATGCTGGCTACAACTAATAAAACCGAAAAAAGTGAATTTTTAAATTTCTTCTACAACCATTGTATGCATGTCCTCACAGCACCACTTTTGGCTAATACTTCAGGAGACAAATGTGAAAAAGATAATATAGTTGGATCTAACAAATACAACACAAATTTATCCGTATAATTAACAAACAGCACAGCTGTTTGCCTTAATTTTAGAGTTACTCACTTTTTGTGTGGAATATCACACATACCACATAAAAAACTATGCTATAAACAAAGACTTGCTAAGAAGAGTCTTGGTCTTGATGAATTCAAAGCACACTTTCCTGGCTTTGTTGTGCCCTTCTCTTTATGAGGCGGATAAATGACCTTAAAGACTAATTCTATAACCATTACATTACCAAGGGAAATCTTTTTGAGTCAGTTATAAATGCTCTTCTGGAAAATGGGATTCCATACAATCTGTTGAATTCAGCTGTGGTTGAGTTGTTTGAATTTATAAGAGTGGAAGATATCAAGTCTCTTACTGCCCATATAGTTGACAACTTTTATAAGGCACTTGAATTGATTGAATATGTTCAGACAAAGGACTGAAGACTAAATTATGAGCAAGAGAGAGAAAGACAAAATCAGAAACTCAACAGTGTACTATGTATATTGCATAGCAACAGATTTCTCAGAGATGCAAAAGTCTTGGAAGAGGGCGAAGAAATGTGGTTTAATGAAGATGAAGAGGAGGAAGGAAAAGCAGTTGTAGCATGGATGGAAAAATCTAAGCCAGAAGATGATTTTCCAGACACTTAATGAAAAATTTATGGAGACTAAAAAAAGCAAAGTGAAGACATGGAAAACGTTCCTAAAAGGAAATCTTCTGGTGGCTTCAAATTTACTTTCTCCCACTCTGCTAGTGCTGCTAATGGAACAAACAGTACAAACAGTATATCTGTAGTGACTCAGACATCAACAGCAAGTTCTAATGGATCCTCTTCCAAAACTACAAATTTGGCTATGTCAGTAACAGCTACCAAGGGAAGTTAGTTGTTTTAGTGGATTATCCAGATGATGAAGAGGAAGATGAAGAAGAAGAAACATCCCTCAGGAGAAGACCTTGTCTTGTTCATAAAGTCTTTATTGGGGAACCCTCAGCATGTGTTCTTACTAAAATGCTGCAACTGTTCAATGGGCTGAAAATCTGAATCGGAAAGCTTTCTCACTTGAATTTATAAATATAGAAGGAGTAGCAAAAGGCAGTCAGTATATCAGCTAGGAGAGTTTAGTTCTGCAGAAAATCAGGCTTTCCAGGAACTTGATCGCTTGCTAGTAATTAAGGAGTTTGCCTTTCATGTGGTCAAAAAAAAAGGAAGATATCTTCTCAGCAAGGAAAGTCTCAGGTTTGGGGACAGCTTGAGGGAGGGAAAAGGTTGATAAAACAATAATAATGGAGGATTGCTACAGGGGGTATCCAATCTAGAAACAATTGTAAAATTTCAGTTGCAAACCCAATAACTTTACTTGTATAATGGTACTGGCCACATTCTTTTAATTAATTGCCTCTTTTTAAAAGAAATTTTTATGGAAAACAAAGTTCAACTACAATAAAAAATGAAATTAAACTGTTGGGACCATTTCTCTGGAGAATCAACAGAAATTCACTTGGAGAGGTATTTGGAGGGAAGTACACCCTGTATTACTGGGCATGTTGAGTTTTGTACACCAGAAATTTTCAGTATGTATTTTGATGAAAACAAACAAGCTGGATTCAAAATGAATTTCACAAAGTTCCTGGTGAAGATGTGTACGCCTGGAATTGTTTGAGAATTGTTCTGACTTGTGCTTCCTGATCCTTACCTTATTTTTTATAAAGCTAATTTCACTATTAGAATGATTTCACATTCCTCAACGAATGCACTCTGCCACGAAAAAAAGAAAAAAAAAACTCAGAGCCGAAATTTCCTGGATGTCTTGCCAAAACCATATACTCATCTTTTTTTTTTTTTTTTAAATTCTTTTTGTCTTAAATTCATTACTTGTTCTTTTTTCACTATAAAATAATGACTGGCCCTGTCCAACATAAAAACTATACTTTCTGAGCCTAATATCATTAGCATGAAACTTCTTTTCAAAACTCCTTTGCTGCTTTTATAGAAAAGACAAACGAAAGAAAATATATTACAAACCCCTACTGTGCAGACTATATATTACTCAGAGCTTTCATCAAAAGTGTAATTTTAACCTGAGGACGTCAGTTTCAGCATGAGGCTCACTGTACTACTCCTATGAATCACGTGGTGCAACCAGGTTTTCTGTATGACTCCAGTGACTCACAGCAGCATTTAAAGTGAGCTGTGTTTAAAGTTGTGTCTCACTGGCTTGTCCAATACCTCCTTTATCTTTGCTGTGGAAGATGGACCCTGATGGTACTTAGAGTAATACAGCTTTTCTTTATAGATTAATCACTGACATGGACTGGTTCATTCTCATTGTGTGACATCTTCATGAAAATAATGCAAGCTGATTGTAAGAAATTTTGGAAAAGTTTGAAAAATATAAAAGAGAAAGTAAGATTCACCCACACTTTCCATCCTGAGAGTGTTTAAAATCTGTATGCTTTCATTCTAGTATTTATCCTATTCATATGCCAAAATGTATATATGACATATATTTAGAAAATTATAATCCCACTGTATACATCTTTTTTCTACAAGAAATTTGTCATCATATTGTAGTTATCATGTTGCCTCTAGGGTTCCAGCTAATCTTATATAATGATCGCTTTTGTGTAATTTAGCCTTTATTGATGAAATGATTATAATTGTGTGGATATGCATAAGTTATTTAACCTCTCATTAATGTTAGAATTTCGATTACTTCCAATGTTTGCTTTTATAAATAACACTGCCATAAATATTGATTCTGCACATCTTGGTTTTTTTTTCCCTCTGTGTAGATTCATATTACGAGGTCAAAGGCTATAAAAATTTTAAAATCTTTTGATGTATTTTGTCAGGTGCTTTATTTGTTTTGCTTTGTTTTTAAAAAGTCAGAAATTATCTGAAAGTCTAATAATTGATGGAAAAGCAAGTGATATGGGAGGGGAGAAATCACTTTTTATAATAGTCATTGACTTGGATTCAAATCTTGTTTCTACAATTTGATAATTTTACTATATATATTAACTATTTTACTACTACTCATCCTCCTCCTCCCGTTTCCTTCTCCTCTTAAGATTATCATTTTCCTTTAATGTGAATGGGAAAATCTTTCACGAATAAGGTTAGATTGTAAAAATTTTCATTAATCTTAACAGCAGCTGTTAGACCCTATGAAAGATATTATATATAGCCTACACAATTTGCACTCCAAATAAATATTGAGTTTTTATCCTTGAATAGGATCTCAGTTTTATGCTGCTACCAGTAAGAAGGTAGACAAAATGGATCTCTTAATAGATTATATGCTAGTGCAATAAAGAATGCTTGCTTTTCATTTTATGTCTTCAAGGTGTAATATTAATTTAAAATATTTTAGATTCTTGCTTTCCTTCGTAAGGGATATTATCCTATATGCTGAAAGAATTATTTTGTATTTTCAAACTAAGGGGAATTTTCAGATATAATTGGTAGATATTATTTTATCTTTATTATGTACACAGAATTTATTGTCCTTATTATATGCACAAGATACATTTTCTTTGTTCATTTTATCCGGCAGCTAGGATATAGATACCTATATACTCAGAGGGGAGCCCTGGTGGAGCAGTGGTTCAGCATTCGGCTGCTAACCAAAAGGTCGGTAGTTCAAATCTACCAGCCACTCCTGTCCTATAGGGTCACTATGAGTCAGAATCAGCTTGAAGGCGAAGAGTTTTTTTTTTTTTTTTTAAAAAAAAAACACTCAAAGGGAGTTTTACTCAGGTTTCCTATAGGGTTTATGTATGGCTGGAAACACTTCCTCTGATAGATAGGCTATATCATCCCTTTTATTCTCAAGGATGTAAAACTCTGGGGTTTCAAACAATGAATGCTTACAATGCTATAAACCACGGCTGTAAAGCAAGTAAACTTTGGGATGGCGGCAAATACTGTCAGGAATACCCATTTATGTTCACCCATTTATATTGTTTAGGAATGGTCTTCCTCTAAGCTACAATACTGGTGAAGAGCCTAAATCCTGACAGCAAAATTTAAGCATTTCAACTGGCTTTATCTGTTTGTCAAAACACGTACATCCGCTTTAAAAAAACTCCACAGAATATCTGTTCTTTAGGACTTTGCTACAGAATATAATCCTGATCTGCTGAAAAACCAGTACTTATTAAATGGGAATTATATCTAAAGTGCCTGACACATATGAAATGATCAATAGCACTAGTAATAGTAGCAAAATAGCAATAATTACAGCAGTTAATATTACTTTTATATTACTTATTTTGTGCCAGAGAAATATTAAGTGTTTTATATGTATTAACTAATATTTTCCATACAACCACCATATGGGGCTGTAGTATTATAGGAATAATCCTCACTCTATAAACCATTCTAGTCTAGTTTCCCATCATCTTCTGCCTGATCTCCTTCAACAACCTTCTAAGGGGTCTGCCATTCCACAGTCTTGTTCCTCCACAGTCCAATCCAGTAATTCATCTTGAGGGCTGATCATATCTCTCCCTTGCTTAACTCTTTCTACTGGCTTCCCAGTGCCCTTAATAGATGTTTCCAACTCCTTCTGGCTCCAACTAATCTTTCCCACATCATCTCTCTTTACTCTTCATCTTGCTCAACTAAGAGAGCTTGGCTGCCATTACTACTCGAGCTGCTTTCATTTTGTCTTCCTCTTTCCTCCGTCTCCTCTACCTATTCTGGCACACCCTTCACCTTAATTATCAACAAGTCTGGATTACTTTTTAGGATCCCTGCTGGGTGTTCCCTTAGCATTGTTATCTTTCCTTATCGTAATACTTTTTTCACTTTATTTTTATTACTTGCTTCTGTTCATTTTTCCAACTAGAATATAAGTATGTGTGTAGTCGGGTGGGGCAGGTAGGGGGCAGAAATCATGTCTGCTTGGTTTCTCTGCATATCCGACCAGCACCTAGCTCCCCTGAAATATGATATTCACTCTAAAAATATTCTTTGAATGAATGACTGATACTTTCTTATGTGTTGAATAATGAAGGCTTTATCAGACCCTATTCGCAAAGTCTCACAGGTATCCCACTTTATTCTGTCATGATTGTGGTGACATGGAAATACATGCATTTCTAATTTGTAGGTCACTTTACTGCACTTCCCACATCTTTCTGTCAAACATTCCGAACGAAGAAGGTAGAATCATTTCAACTGAAAACACAAAACCAACAGTAATAGGTTTACCTTAGGCAAAGGATTGGCAGATTTGCAGTGGAGCCCTCCAACGAAGTAAAAATGTGGCAAAAATGGGTGAGGAAATTCAAAATCCCAGTAAGTTCCAATAAGCCATATTTCAGCTTTCCCCATTGTCTCAAATAAGGTAGTGCGTCTTCCTGAAAAGAAACAACAAAAGGTTGCGGTAACTTAATTATCATCTGAATATCAGGGTAATTTTCTGAAGGGAGCTGGAATAATGTGAGAGTGGACTTATATCTCTAATGTTACATCAGTAGTTCCACCATCATAAACAATTATTAAACCTAAGCCACTGGAGAATTAAATATGCATTTGTTTTCTGTAAGTTGCAAAAGTAACAGATGCAAAAATGCAAACAACTGGAATGTAAGTCCCCCAATCAATTAATCCTACCATAGCTATGGAAATACCTTTCCCAGAAGTACTCAGTTTCATTTCTACAATTTAACAAGCCAGTCCCTTGACAATTGATTTTCCAACTAAACTGTGAGGTGTTTGCGAGTATGACTCAATTCTTTGTACCAACTACTGCATTTGGTTCAAGTTAAGTGCTGAATAGTATTTAATTATTAAATAAAACTATTTGTAATTAACTGCTGGAAATTTTGATAAAGTTATGGAAATAGAGAGATTTGCTCATTCTGAATTTTTTAAAATACAGAGACGTAGTCTTCAAAAAATAGACTAATAACTTTTACATCAACCCTTCAACAGCATCATAGGCCTGTAAGACAGATGATTTGCAAGCACTTAGTGAAGAAATGTGGAATCATTAGAAACCTCAAGGTTCACTAAGCGTAAGTTATGCAGAATATATTATTTTGATTATGGCTATTTGGCTAGCAGATTAATAAAATATTGTAGTCACAAATTACAAGTTTTTAAGTCTGGAAGAAAGCCGCTATGTCTCTCAATGTAGAAAGATTCCTGAGAAGGTAATATGGAAAAATATTTTAATTAATAAATAATAAAAACTGAGCTACAGGAGATGTAATTTTCCAGATGCTCCATAGATGGTTGGAACCCTGGTTGCCCAGTGGTTAAGAGCTCGGCTACTATTCAAAAGGTCAGTGATAAGAATCCACCAGCTGCTCCTTGGAAGTCCTGTGTATGAGTTCTGCTCTGTCCTATAGGGTGGCTATGAGTCGGAATCTACTCGATGGCAACAGGTTTTGGTTTTGGTTACATAGACATTTATGCTAGAAATATGTATGTCACTCTTCAATCTACATGTCTATGTTCATCCAGACATTCTTTGAAGTTTATAAGGACTTTTCAAAGATAAAAAGTACAACAAAATAGGTATGTAATTAATTAAAGAAATTCTAAACATCTTAATTTTTGGGTTTCTGATTTCCTGGAGTCTCCTGTCCTAGTGATGGGCCACTGGGTTCTTCTAACTGATTTTGTAATAGAAACCTCTCTATAATATATGTGAGGCTGATAGCTCATTTCATCTTTTACTTACAAAAAAATTCATCTGACTTTTTATTTACACAAACTTACCTTCAAAAGCACAAGGAAAGTTAGGACTTCATTCTACCAACTAAAAACATGACTTACCTAGTACTTCACTGTAAAACTGATCCCACCTCTTCTTATTAAATCCCTGGAACCAAAAGTCAAAATAAAGCACATATATCATATTTTTTACTCTCTCCAAGAATGTTATTTGATCTTGTAATTCTGACATAACAATAGGTACAAAGAAGGAGGGGTTAAAAGTCCTCCACTATACTTTTCAAATGTGTAGCCAGAAGTAAAACGGACACTGTACACAAAGGGTATTTTAAGTAGCTCAGCCAGCAGCTCACCACAAAGACCAATGGCATCTGCAAAAACAACATCAAAACTTGATTCTTGCAGTTTCACCATTAGTTTCTTGTTGAAAACTACATCTTTACAGAGCCTTTCAATACAATCAGAATATTCCCAAGCCATTTCTTGTAGTAGTGAAAAATATGTCCAAAATATATCTTTTGGCAGATGCTATGTTATTTTCCTGATCCATTTCATGAAAACAAACTCAAAATCATCTTTAGTAAGAGATGTAGGATAAACCTCAAATTTAATAGCAGATAGTGTGTTAGGATCAATAAGAATGGAAGCTGAAGATGTTAGAACAGTCACTTCATGATCTCTCTGAACAAGTTCATCCAGTATTGTCTTTATATTGATCCAATGACTGTATTCAGTTGGCCATACCAGCACTTTTCCACAAGTTCCAGAGCTAAAGTAACAACTCAGTTGTATCAGCAGAAGAACTGAAACCCATTTCATAGACATCCTGGTTAAATGAATTTTTCCTTTCAAATTTCTGTTCCCTTCTGCCATTGCTCTTGCTTATATCCCAGGAGAAATCAATCAAGAAGTTAAAATACAACTCTTACATATCAAAGAAAACACATTACACGAATAGTCAGAGAATGTGGGTGCCAAGTGGAAAAAGCAAAGGGTAGATGACCTTATGTTTGTATGTGTCTACTTAATGTCTCTTTTATCATAAGTGCTATCACGCAGCTAAGAGCCAATGACCTAACATTTCCGTGTCACCTGTGTTGCATAATAGATTTTAGAAGAGTGTTAAGGTTAGTGGCAAGTGTGAGGCCACTTGTGACTGCAGTCTGCTTGACACAAGAACTAAAGACAAAGTAATTATACAGTTGCACCAGAATTTTTTTTTGGATATCATGGTTCAAGGCTTTCTGTGTCTGGTAGAAGATGCCACCTTGAAGACTAAGATGTGCCTGACCTAAGCCATGGTGTTTTCAATCACCTCATATGCATGTGAAAGCTGGACGACAAACAAGGAAGATTGAAGAAGAATTGACGCCTTTGAATTGTGGTGTTGGTGAGGAATATTGAATATACCATGGACTGCCAAAAGAACAAACAAATCTGTCTTGGAAGAAGTACAACCAGAATGCTCCTTAGAAGCCAGAATGGCAAGATTATGTCTTACAGAATTTGGAAATGTTATCAGGAGGAATCAGTCGCTGAAGAAGGACGTCATGCTTGGTAAAGTAGAGGTTCTGTGAAAAAGAGGAAGACCTTCAAAGAGATGGATTGACATAGTGGCTGCAAAAATGGGCTAAAGCATAACAACAATTATGAGTATGGTACAGGAGTGGGCAGTGTTTCTTTGTGTTGTACATAGGGTTTCTATGAGTTGGAATCAACTCCATGGCACCTAACAACACCAACAACACCAACAACAAAATCTTTAGTGACACGTAATTCACATACCAAACAATTCAACAATTTAAAGTGTAGTATTCGATGGTTGTTTATACAAAGAGTTGTACAGCCCCCACCAAGATCAGTTTGAACATTTTAATCCTCCAAAAAGAAACTCTGTGCCCCTTAGCCATCATCCTTCAGTCTTCTCATCCTCCCTCTCCCCCAAGTCCTAGAAAACTGCTAATCTACTTTCTGTCTCTACAGATTTTCTTATTCTGGACATTTCATATAAATGGTATACAATATGTGGTCTTTTGTGACTGGATTCTTTTACTTAGCATAATGTTTTCAAGATTTAGTTATGTTATATTATGTACAGGACATTATTTCTTATTATTTTAAAATAATATTCTTTTGTATGACTCTATGATTTTTGCTCATCCATTCATCAGTTGATATGCACTTGGGTTTTTCCACTTTTTGACGATTATGCTGCTTATGAATAATGCTGTTTACTAACATTCACTTGCAAGGTTTGTGTGAACATATGTATTCATTTCTCTTGGAAAAATACCTAGAAGTAGAATTGCTGGATCATATGACAGCTCTATGTTTAACCTTACATCAGGCTGTTTTCCAAAATGGCAAGTATGAGCGTTCCAATTTCTCCACATTCTTTCTTTCTTTTTTTTTTAAATTCTAATTCTTTTTAAAATGTTTATTTTTAGTGAAAATATAGACACAGCACAATATGCACTCATTCAATTTCTACATGGAAAATTCAGTGACCTTGGTTACATTCTCGAAGTTGTGTCATTGTTCTTACTATCTCTACCCAAATTATTCACCACTATTAACTTTGGTTCTCCACATTCTTGACAACACTTATTATTTTCTTTTTTTATTGTGCTTTAGGTGAAAGTTTACAGCTCAAGTTAATTTCTCATACAAAAATTTATACACATACTGTTATGTGACACTAGTTGCAATCCCTATAATGTGACAGCACACTCCTCCTTTCCACTCTGGGTTTCCTGTGTCCATCCAACCAGCTCCTGTCCCTTCCTGCCTTCTCATCCTGCCTCCGGACAGGAGCCACCCACTTGGTCTCATATATCTGCTTGAACTAAGAAGCACACTCTTCACAAGTATTATTTTATGTTTTATAGTCCAGTCTCATCTTTGTCTGAAGAGTGGGCTTCAGGCATGGTTTTAATTCTGAGGTATCAAAGCGTCCAGGGGCCATGGCTTCAGGGTTCCTCCAGTTTCAGTCAGACTATTAAGTCCGGTCTTTTGATGTGATTTTGAGTTCTGCTCCACACTTTTCTCCCACTCTGTCAGGGACTGTCTGTTGTATTCCTTGTCAGGGTGGTCATTGGTTCTTCTGGTCTCAGGCTGATGGAGTCTCTGGTTTATGTGGCCCTTTTGTCTCTTGGACTAATGTTTTCCTTGTGTCTTTGATGTTCTTCATTCCAAGTGGGTTGGCACCAATTGATGCATCTTAGATGGCTGCTCACAAGCTTTCAAGACCCCAGAAGCCACTTGCCAAAGTGGGATGCAGAACATTTTCTTAATAAACTTTGTTATGCCAATTGACCTAGATGTCCCCCAAAACCATGGTCCCCAGACCCCAGCCCCAGCTACTCTGTCCCTCAAAGTGTTTGGTTTTGTTCAGGAAACTTCCTAGGTTTTGGTTTAGTCTGATTGTGCTGATTTCCCCTGTATTTCGTGTTGTCCTTCCCTTCACCTAAGATGATTCTTGTCTACTATCTAGTTAGTGAATTCCCCTCTCTCTCCCTCACCACTCTTGCAACCATCAAAGAATGTTTTCTTCTGTGTTTAAACCTTTTCTTGAGTTCTTATAATAGTGGTCTCATATAATTTTTGTCCTTTTGCAACTGACTAATTTCACTCAGTATAATGCCCTCCATATTCATCCATGTTGTGAGACGTTTAGCGGATTCATCATTGTTCTTTATCATTACGTAGTATTCCATTGTGTGTATGTGCCATAATTTGTTTATCCATTCATCTGTTGATGGGCACCTAGGTTGTTTCCATCTGTTTGCTATTGTGAACAGTGCTGCAATGAACATGAGTGTGCATATATCTATTGCTGTGATGCCTGTTATTTCTCTAGGATATATTCCAAGGAGAGGGATTACTGGATCATATGGTACTTCTACTTCTAGCTTTTTAAGGAAGTGCCATATCGATTTCCAAAGTGACCGTACCATTTTACATTCCAACCGGCTGTGTGTAAGTGTTCCAGTCTCTCCACAACCTCTCCAACATTTATTATTTTGTGTTTCTTCGATTAGTGCTAGCCTTGTTAGGGTGAGATGGTGTCTCATTGTAGTTTTGATTTGCATTTCTCTAATGGCTAATGATAGTGAGCATTTTCTCATGTATCTGTTAGCTGCCTAACTGTCTCTTTTGGTAATTTGTCTGTTCATATCCTTTGTCCAGTTTTTTAATTGAGTTATTTGTCTTTTTGTTGTTTAGGTGTTGCAGTATCTTATAGATTTAAAGATTAGACCCTTGTCGGATATATTGTAGTCAAATTTTTTTTTCCCAGTCTGTAGGTTGTCTTTTTACTTGTTTGGTGAAGTCTTTTGATGAACATAAGTGTTTGATTTTTAGGAGCTCCCAGTTATCTAGTTTCTCTTCTGGTGTTTGTGCATTGTTAGTTATAGTTTTTACTCTGTTTATGCCATGTATTTGGGCTCCTAGCATTGTCTCTATTTTTTTTTTTCATGATCTTTATCATTTTAGATTTTATATTTAGGTCTTTGATACATTTTGAATTAGTTTTTGTACATGGTGTGAGGTATGGGTTTTGTTTCATGTTTTGGCAGATGGATATCCAGTTGTGTCAACACTTACTATTTTCTGTCTTGATTATAGTCATCCAAGTGAGTGTCAGGTGGTATCTCACTGTAGTTTTTACTTACATTTCTCTGATGATCAATAATATTGAGTCTTTTTTCACATAGTCGTTGGCCATTTGTATATTTTCTTTGGAAAAATGTCTATTTAGATTATCTGTCCATTTTTTCTTGGGTTATTTGTCTTTTTATTATTGAATTGTAAAAGAGTTCTTCATATATTCTTGATACAAGTCTCTTATCAGATATATGCTCTGCAAATATTTTCTCCCATTTAGAAGGTCATGTTTTCAGTTTCTTCTTGATGTTCTTTGAAGCACATGTTTAATTTTGTTATATGGGTTGAGGTAGGCAGTCCAATTTCATTCTTTTGCATGTGGATATTCAGTTTTTCCATTACCACTTGTTAAAAAGTCTATTTTTACCCAGTGAATTGTTTTGATACTCTTGTTGAATACCAACTGACCATAAATGTGTGGTTGTATTTCTGCATTCTCAATTTTATTCCACGATCTATACACATCTATCTGTATGCCTGTACCACACTGTCTTGATTACCGTAGATATGTAGATTTGAAGTCAGAAATTGTAAGTCTCTCAACTTTGTGTTTTCTTTTTCAAGATTGTTTTGGCCATTTTATGGAACCCTTGAATTTTTATGTTTATACAAGTTTACACATATTTTATTTATTTTCCAAAGAAAAGATTATCATACTATTTTTTTAAAAAATCTGAAATATTATTTTACATAGCAATGTGACTTGGGCAACATTCAACAATATTGCCCGTAATCTATTTAGTCTCTGTAATGACTATATACCTTATCCCTTTCATTAACAGTAAGTGTGTTCTCTGACTGATAACCATTTAGGTGCTATAGGGAGTATCTTGCCATACATCTCACATATACTCATTTCAAGTATTTCTGCATGACAGGTTCCTTCCTGTAGAATTGCTGATTGATACCAATGTCATTTGGAATGATTATTCCAAAGTATACTCCTTCAAAAATATTTTTCTCAGATCCTTGTTTTACAAATCTATGGCAAAAGAGTTTATTGTCTTAATTTCCATTTCCTAAGTATTAGTGACTTTTGTCAGTTCTTTTATGTTATTGGACATTTTTACTTCTGTCAGTGACTGTTCATATCATTCATCTCTTCACATATTGGACTGTTTGTCTTTTTTGTTTGTGGTTTGTAAGAGTTCTCACTAGATAAT